CTAATAACTACCCATTCCTAGACCCTACCTAGCTACCCTACCTATACCTATACCTAGTCACGTGCTACCCTACCTATACCTATACCCAGTCACGTGCTACCCTACCCAAACCGTTTGGGTAGGGTACCTCATGTACCCTACCTAGTTCCTACCCATAAATCACGTGACTATACCTATACCCTACCCTACCCTACCCATCCGCCAGCCTACTCTTAGGAGTGAAGTGGGGCGGCGCGGATCAACGTCCGCACCGCGTCGGCTGTCTGCCAAGCCTGCCAGCCGGGCATAGCTGCATTTCGCGGCTGCAACCGTGTAGGACCTAATCAAATCAAATCAAATCATGTTGCTGTCTTAGCTAAATTTAGTGTTTAACAACAACAGAGCTAGCTACTGCTCCTTCTAGGATAATAGAAGCTTAATATTATTAGGATCTTGACTTTTTATAGTGTTGTAATGCATACAAGAAGGTTAACTTAGCAGAAAATTAATAAGCCAGCACCTAAATTAACACAGGAGGCACCCACACCTACAACACTAGCAGCATCTAGTTAGCATCAGCGCATTGCAACTCAGCTATTTAGAAGTTGTTGTACAAAGCCTGATTATTAGAGTGTCTTTTAATTTAACTTTTTAGCTGCTTAAAGCTCTTCTTAATTAGATTATAGTTAGGTAAGTATAGTAGAAGGTACTCTAGCTCTACCTTATACATTGCACAAAGCTCACAAACCTAAGTCAATTAATAAATAGAGGCGTTGTCTAGTACAATAACAGAGTACCTAGGTGTTGTATATAGCAACACAGAGCGTTTAAGGAAGTCCTCTATAATCTCTAAGGTAATTAAGCTTTAAAAAATAGTATAACTAAGGTATCTGTTAACTGTTATTGCTAGCAGAAGTAACCATTGCTTACTCTGTTTTATAGAGTAAGCTACTTTAACAGGCGTGCTAACTCTACTCTAACTATACTTACAGTTGCTAGTCCTCTTGTTGCAAGCGCTCTTATTGATCGCAATGATTTACTCCGCCTTGTACTGTTGCATCCTCGCTCTGTACACCCTCTGTAGTGGCTCGCTTTGCTCAATCGCACGCTTTGTAGCCAGCTTCCTGCTGTAGTGAAGCTTCTCCAAAGCCCGCCACACTGTCGATAGAGAGCACTCCACGTCGTAATCGTTGTATAAGCACTGCTGCATCTCCTCCAGATAGGCACCGGGTCACCCATCGAGGTATAATTGGAGTGCTTCTAGCTGCGCTTGCCGCAGTAAAGGCGGGCGGCCGAGCCTGACAGAAGGCGGAGGATAGCACTGTCCCCAGTACTCTAAGCTTAATCGCAGCTTTGCTACAGTGCGACGATCGACTTGGCAAGCAGCAGAAACCTCGGAATCTTTCTCCCCAGCAGCTATATGCTCTACTACAGCTTGCTGCGTGGTGGCGGGTAAACGTTTGCCGTTGACGCGCATCATGGGTTGGTTGCCACGCGGAGTCTCTGCCCCAACAACACCAGAAAACAGTCACGAGAGTTGCGATAGAGCTTCATAAATAAATTAAGCGTGTATAGAAGGTTAAGAAAACAGCTGCAATCATCAAAATACACTCAGAATTAGCCTATAGGTGATGCGTTGAAGTTCTAAGAATACCCCTCGCCACTGCACGTGATGTACATGGTATTTCGAAAACCGTTATAGTCGCAAACACGTCGCACTTACATCTTCTCCCATTATCTTGCATTAATAATTCGTCACCCATAGATTAGAAATATTCTCAAGCCAGGCTGAATATATCAGTGCCACGTTTCATTACTGCCCCACATCCTGTGATCTGCGCACGGTCGGGGATCGCAGCATTTGGTAGCATAGACCCCTTCGAAGTTGTTCCCATCGTCTTCTTTAATCATGATCACGAGGACAATGACTCGAACAGGAATCCTCTCGCCAGAAGAGAGTTGGCCACTGTGGGTCAGGGTCTTCTCGCCTCGTCGGCATCTCCGACTAGTGCCCTGGAAGCTTTGTCGACAAATTTTGTACGTCTCGGGCCCCGAAATATATGCAAATACTCAAGGCCACGAATTATCGATTGCTGCAGGCGACCAGGTCTTCCGCTTGCGCTCTGCACACGCAGTCATTGTGCAGAGCTGATCTTCAGATGAAAAGGGCAAACAGGGAAGATGAAAGCTAGGGTTCATTCGTCGGTGCCCAACTTCGTCCTAAACAACACCATTCCGCAGACACTTGGTCTGCACCATCTCTATGAAGTCGGCCTATGGTATTTTTGGCGAGAGCTATGATGCTCCCCGCCTGAGACGCTTTACTGGTTCAACCATGTCTGGAGGGGTGCAGGGACTTGCAGGCCACACTCAAACCGGGGTTCAGCACATTCCCATCTCTTATCGAGCAATTAATCGAGAGCACCCTACACCATATGAACAGCTCTTCTTGCGCAATTCCATTCACCATTCAACATAGAACGAAAGTCTTCAACACGTTTGGATCAAAAGTAATCCACGATCATCAACGCTTTCACAACATCACGAATCGGCAACCTAGAGCATCATCCAACATGATGCATCAGCTCACTGTTCTCCTACTCCTGGCCGCTTGCCTTGTTCTTGTCCATGCTGGAACATGGGATGACATTGAAGTAAGTACTGAACAAACCGGAATACTTTGGGCCCAATGTCCAGATGAGTATCAAATGCGCTGGGAAGACCGTAATCGCTGCATGCGGCTCGAAGTTCCTTTGGATTACGATAATCTCGCAGCCGGATACACAGCCCTTGCCTTCATAAAGAAAGGTTCACGCATCCCACAGGAGCATGCACCGGGGACGATAGCCATTCTTGGGGGTCCTGGAAGGTCTGGTATCGAAGACTATATTTCAGGGCGGATGCCATCCCGTCATGTCCTGGGCAGGAAACACGATATCATCGCGTTCGATCCAAGAGGCGTCGGACACAGCGGACCGAATCTGGACTGCTTCGGCGGCGATCTTACTGCTTCCTACCAAGCCGCAAGCGGAGAGTATTCGTTCTCGTCGTCATCGCGGAAGAGAATTGTCGAAAAAGCGGGTGCTTGGGGTGATTTGTGTAAGAAGAATCTAAACGACTCAGCGCGTTATATTGGCACACCTGCTGTCGCACGGGACATATCGCTTTACTTCGAGCGGCAAGCAAATAAAAGTACCGCCATCAGTTCCGACGTCAACTTCTACGGAGCGGGTTATGGTGCTATTTTGGGTGCTACAGTAGCTTCAATGTACCCTCACCGCGTCGGTAGAATTGTCCTGGACAGCCCTATGACCCCAGAAGCTTATTACGAGGACGTACAGAGGTTTGCCTCTAAGGACCAGAATGAGGCAGTTCGGCAATTCTTCATTCAATGCTCCGAAGCTGGTCCAGAAGTGTGTGGCTTTTGGGGCGCTACGCCTGAGGATATCGAGGGACGTTACCACAGGCTACTGGAAAAATTGGAAGATCACCCACTGCAGATTCCATTTGTCCGGGCCCCCGTGGATAGCCCTGTGCAGATCACTGCCGACTCAGTCCGCGCGCGAATGCTAACAGCAGCGTACCAAGGACATGTTGCCTTCCGTGAATTATCTGTGGAGCTTGCAGACCTGGAAACAGGTGATTATCGGTCTTGGAATTTCAAGTCCGTGATGGCGCCGAACTGTGCTAACTGCACTCTGGACGATTGGAATTATCTGCACGAGGCCCTTCGAAATCCGGTGAGCAAGGACTGGAACCAGTGGGCCGCCTATGCAATTACCTGCTCCGACCTGGGCCCTAAAGGTAACATGGCGCCGGGAATGTTCGACCTTTTGATGGAAAGATCGCTCCGTACAAGTCCATATGCCGGTATCCAGTCGGCAGATCTGGCCTACTGCAGCAAATGGCCTCTGTCTCCCCCGCCCAGCCAGAAATTCGTCGTTCCGCCCCTTGGCGACAATACCCGGGTCAACACCAAATACCGCATTCTCATCATCGCGAACACTTATGACCCCCACATTCAGTTCTCATATGCCCGGAGATTGCACGACTTATTCTCGAACTCTTTCCTGGTAGAACAAAAGATTGTAGCTCATGGTGCTGCTTCGTGGGGAGACTGTATCGGTGACCTTTTAGATCACTATTTCTATAAGCCATCCCCACCACCATACATGGTCCATTCCTGCAGGGTTACAAAGTCATCACTTCATCCAAAGGATTAATAGCGTACGGGGGAGTTCGTCCATACATCCGCCAATATTCTGGGTCCTTAGAGAATATACAATATTGCTTTTCCGAAACTCACTCGACGATTGTGGCTAGCATTGAACACATGTCTTGCTCGACTCTCTTGTCTGGGTTTGATCATCTCATTTGAGCTTGGTCACGCTTCGTGATTTCTATCACCTTATAGTGGCTGCTAACGCTCGCCGGCTCGAGCCCTAAGGGTATAAGCTATCTCATTTGTACCACCTTGACGTATCCCACAATACTGCATGACATCTTCTCGCTACGGAACTAGTTCCGCATCAGATAGTCTCTCCCTTTCGCCGTGCTCAGCTAGAATCTATTTTGCTTCTCTTACCCTCAGTAATGTGCATGATTGCCACCTTTGTTACTATGTAAACTCACCTCCAACCCGGATCTTCCCTCTTTCTACTGCAACACTTATATCCCCATCACAACCGTGGTTTTTAAGCACAGCGTACGAGACGTAGACTTCGCAATCCGTACATACGTTCGTCCCCCATCTCGATATTTCAATCAGCACCATACTGTCCGACGTCATACGCCTCGAACAGCTTCTTGCCTATCTGAGCACACAAAAGGCACTGTCCAGATATGATCCCACCCACGAGAAGGAGCCAAGTTACGCTTGGTATCGGATGGACAAGGCCAAGATCGATGAGCTCCTCAAGACCTTCTCGCAGTCATTTGTCCGCATGTTAAGCGGGTCTCTACTTGACGGCAGAGAGCTGCAATATTTGTTCCGTATTGCTACCAAACTCGCCAACGTTATACGTAGCCCACCTGTCAAAGATTCTCTCACTGATACTCAGTGTGCAGACAAGAGCCTCAAATTGAACGCGTTGTTCGACTGCGATGGTCTCTCACTGACCGGAGCCGACGGAGCTGCGTGCACGTCTGTCACCACGCGACACGTCCATTGCAGCGGCCAACTAAGGTTCTTGAATGAGATCAAGTTCCTGGATGCAGTTACGAGAGAATCTCTTCTTTATGAATATGCCAGAAACTACTTTCACTTCTAGCACTTGGGTGTCGATTCTGATGATGAAGACCGCGAAAAAAGCCGTAAAGTCACAACGAGAAGACGTGATTCTGACTCCGTTCGGATCTCAAACCGCACTCCAAGAGAGCTAGAGCTCGATTCTATGCAAGAACGGAGAAACCGTTCCTACAGCGCCAGACAGCTAGTTAAGCTCTTTCTTGACCACTACCACTACACGTCTTCTTTAACAGCTTAGCAGCCACAGACGCCTTAGCAGCCACCTGCGCTGCTGCCTTGCTATACTTAAGAGTCCTACTATGCTGTAGGCGCATGAATTTACGCGCTTTTCTCTTAATCATGATTGTCAATTGCTCTTTAAGCTCTGTGTTTTAAGCTGCTAGAAGCGTTTTTTATTGTAACATTAACTTAGCTCCCTTCACAAGCTGAGAGAAACTAGCTTAGGCTGTAAGTAGTAATTAAGTAACGTACTCCACAAGCGAGCTGGCCACCCAAGCGAGCTGGCCACTTTTGCCAAGACCACACCAATACTGCACCTACTTTGCAACATTACAGCACACAACTATAATATATTATACTACACAGTATACTAAACTAGTCTATACTACTCTGTGTATCTTTACTGCATGTTTGCGCGTTATGCCCTGTCTTGCTATATATGCCACAGCGCCTTAGAGGCTAAGTGCTCCTATTAACACGCAACCTCTTCTTTGCCTTCTTCCTATTACTACAGGCCTTAAACTCCTTTAGAGTAGTTAGCTGCACTCCCTTAGCAAAGACTAGAGTCCTCTCTCACTGTAATTACTTCCTTTTATGTAATTTACAACGTGTGGCAGCCTTGTTAGCTGCCTGTAGGTCAGCAACCTAGTTGCACACTAAAACTAGTAGATGCGCCATCAGCTCTGCGCCTTTAGTGAGCTAATTAAGAGCGTTAACTATAGACGTTAGCAAGCTATTAGCGTGTCTCTAAATCCTCTCTTAAATCAGCTTTAATTAAGACCTAAATTCTAGGGTGTTGCTTAGTGTTTTAGACTCCTACGTACTGTTGTCCACAGTAGGTAGCGTTAGCGTGTGTAGCTGTACTTTAAGCTTTAATAGCACAGCCTCTAGGTTAATTAGGACTAGGCCAGCACCTCTAAATCCTCCCTAGATGTTGCTCTCTGTGATTAAGGCGTTAAAAGCTGCTTTAAAGCACGGCAAGAACTCAAGTTTGGTGATGTAAGTAATCTTGCTGCGCATCAGCCGCTTAGCTTGGCAGCCATAGGCCTTCTTTAACAGGGCAAAACAGCCTACGTCAAGTAGCTGTAGTAGGTGCGATAAGTGTGGAGGCATACATAGGGTAATGTGGAAGCTGAGTGGTCTCTGATCGTTGATCAAGTGTGAAGAAAGTGATCAAGTTCCTTGTTCTATCTACGGTGCTAAATAAGCAGAATATATACACCAATGCTCATCCAGCTATACCCTAATTGGAGCCCTAATCATGGCTCTAAGCTATACCCAATTCCGCTCACCATGGCGTGATAGATCGCCAGTGTCTGATCGATCCAATATCCAGATGCAGATCACGTGATATGCACCCTCACCTCAATCCTTGCTGCGACACACCCCCCAGGTGCCTGGATCACTGATCCAGGTGCCTGTATCGCAGCTGAGTTGTTACCTGATTAATCCCTGTCAAGATTGCTCTCCTTCACTTTAGTGGGGCTGCTGTTTGCTCTAGTGCTGCTCTGAATAGTTAATCTAGTAACTATAACAACTAATTGCAAGGCAACAAATAGATCTTTTGCGCAATCACTGTCCTTTCTTTGTCTCTTTAATAATAATTAAGCTTTCTATAACATAGATTATCACCGAGCCGTCCATATCACCAAACCAGCCACTTTCTCTTAGCACGACCACCTTTTACCCTAACACAACATGCCTTAACAACAACAACTTCAGAATACTACTAGAGAAGGCAGAGTTATTATTGCTATCTAGGCCTTCTATGCTGGCTAATTTCGCAGTATCCACAGCACTGCTAGAGCGTTGAATATACCTTATTAGTAGGTCTCTAATCACCTTTACAATATCACGTTTTAACTAGACATATGTGCTAATTGCTAGAAACTTACTATACTAGAGGAGCAGACAATTGTCTAGTATATACTTAACCTTAATTCGCAAGGATTTGCGCCCTAGCTATGTGAGGTGGCAGATATGGCTAATAAGATACTTAGTGTGTGTAGTGAAGAGCCTGTTAGCAAACTATAGGCTAGCAGGCTTACAACACGTTTAGACAAGCTTAAAATAGCCTTTAATTAAGCTAAGGATAGACAGAGGATACTACAGGAAGATCCTAAGATAATTAGCGCGTAGTTTAAGCTAGTAGAGGGTACTTAAGTTAAGTATAGTGTTTGCAACAACAACATGCATAACTTTAATAAAACTAGGTTCTAGATAGGTGTTGCTTTGTCTTTAAAGGTTGTAACAGGCTTAGAGAGACGTGCTTAGCCAGAGCTTGTTCAGCCAGGCGATCGCGAGTAGGTTACTGTTATCTAGAGCATCTGCGCCGCTAGGTATGCAACCCCACCTTTCATCATCTACAAAGGACGCGTCCACATCTCTGCCTAGTATAAGGAGATAGATATACCCTACAATTAGAAGCTCTTAGTCTCTAAGAATAGTTAGGTAAACAATATACTTAGCCTTAAGTAGTTAAAGCACTATAACATGTATATAAAGACGCGTTAGGTAGGAGTGTATAGGTTACTTATCTTAGACAGCTATAAGAGCTATCTTAACTAGGAGTTTAAGGACTATTACCTAGAGAACTAAACCCTTACTCTCTGCATGCTACCTTACTTATTGCATATCCTCTAGCTACTTAACATAGTCTATTTCTTGCTATTAAAGTGTAAGTACTCTAAACATGTTTAAGACTTAGTATACTAACATATCTTCTATATTAATAAGGAAGGCTTCCTACTAGCCTTTAGGGATGCGTTTATTAATATATTTATAAATAGTAACTACTAAAAGGCCTTTAAGGCATTAGGGCTTGTTCCTACTAATATATAGGTAGTGTTAGATTGCCTTAAAGTGTGGCTGCATACCCTACTAGCAGTACCTCTACCTAAAACGCTATAGCAATCCAAGACGCTAAGCAATACACACAAGTTTAGGTATTAATCTAAGCTTGTAAGCAACTCCTTCTAATAATTACTAAGTGCAGCGCAAGAGGGGTTCTTAAAGCTTGTAAAAGGGGCTAAAGAGATGCTGCACAAAAACGTCCTTATTAAGGCCTGCGTGCAAGAGCTTGAAGAGCAATTAGCAGTAATAACTAAGAGAAAATCGCGTAAGAGAAAGCAGATTCAGCATAGTGGCACACTTGAGTATGGCCCAGCAGCATCGCGGGTAGCTGCTGAGGCGTGTGTAGCAGCTTAGCCATCTAAGAAGACTTGGGGTGGAGGTGGTTAACTAGGAGCTCAGTTAACTGTTTAGCGCTGTGGGAACTGCAGCAAGACTAGACACAACGCACGAACGTGCTAGGAGGGTACAGAAACATCTTCTAAATCTAATGCAAGCATGCAGTATACTAGGTCACTATTTAATAGTAAGTAGTTGTAGTTGCAGTAACTTGTGTTAGTCGTGCTAAGAGAAAATGGCTGGTTTGGTGATATGGCCGGCATGGTGATAATCTACATTACCTCTACCTTAAGTAAGTATGTTGATAATCCTATTCTCTTTCAATTGCTCACTAACTAATTAGATAACTAGACAGTACACGTTTAGAATCCACACAATCATGCTATCAGCCAAGCGCAACGCGTCGTCTGCTAGGCGATTATCTCTAGCTAAGAGGCAGAGGACTGTTTGATTGATTGATTGATTGATAAGTTTAACGTCCTGTGTGAGTCTAAGACTATATAAGACGAGGGCAGTTAAGCTGCCCTAGTATTTTAAGGAGTGTTTTGTACAAAGGGATAGTAAATATAAGTTCGCAGTCCTATAGTGAGGGCCTGTGCCCTAGATAGTTGAAGAGAGCTGTTGCTCTGTTGAATTATTGTTGTATAGAGATAGCCTGCAGGCAGGCTATGCTCTGTAGGTTGTTTGTCTATTGCTAGCAATAGACTGCTAGGGGTAGTTTTAAGCCATTGCTTAGTTAATAGAGTAGTCGTATAGGGGTGGTTTTGAGCCGTTGCTCAGTCGATTTCGTCCAGGTATATGGGGTCGGTATAGCTAGTTATGATAGGGGGGTATTCGTAATAAGGCGGCTAGCTGTATAGCTATTACTGGCAAGGCAAGTAGCTATATAGCTAAGGAGAGAGCCGCTGCTCTGG